CCCCCCACAAAAAAAAAAAAAAAGAAAAAAAAAAAAGAGCATCCTCGCTAATCAGGACACTGGATACGAAGGCTCCATCTATTGGTGGGAAGCACTACCTGCTGGGAACCGGGCCCACCGTCCCTGTGTAACATACTACTGATCATCATATGTCATTCGTACACTGACTTACCCGCTGCTGTGCTGTTCGAGGACTGTTTGTGGTGGATGACCGTAACACCCTCTCATGGTTTGTTCCTGTGTGTACCTCCCTGCTCGGCTGAGTCCCAACTTGTCCTGCTTGTCCTGCCCAGTGTGTTTTGCTTGCTAAACCTCTGCTAAACCCTTACCTGTACAGCATGCTGTACACCCAACCCTAGCTGTCCCTGCTATCCCAGTGTGTTTTGGTTGCTAAACCTCTGCTAAACCATTATCTGTGATGCATGCTGTAAGCCCGACCCTGCCTACTTCTCCACTGCTTTGTCCTTCACAAAACCGGAAGCTGCCACCCTATATCTCTGTGAATCCCTACTTTAAGGAGGGTCCACCCTGGCCGGCATAGAGAGGTGGGGGAAGGGAGGGGGTGAGCCGTGTGACGGGATAGGCGAGAAGTCAGGGTCCTGGGGAGCATAGCTAAAGAAACATTTGTTCAGGTTCAAGGATGCCAGAGCTAGCCACATCAGCATGTCCCACTAAGTAGCCCAAGTGGTTGCATGTCTGTGTGGCAATGGAAAGTTAGATGCGGCATGAAGGATCGGTCTCAGCTGGTTGGATGGACCGATGAGGGTGGGGACCTCTGGCAGTGATGCCAGATGGGAATTATAATCCCAACAAGTGGGGTGTCAGACCACCTACAGCCGACACCGACCGTAGGCCATCGGCTCGCCTACCAGTCGGGTCGACCCGTAGGCGGACTGCTCGGCACTCTGTAAAGTGCCACCTACTGTTTGTTTTTCAAATCCGAGTTCAGGGCTGTACTGCGCTTCCTGAGTACAGCCCAAATCCACTGAGAAACGTTTGGGGAGAGGTAGGGGGGGTATGAGGGGTTATGGGGGAGGTATTGGGGGCGGCATAAGGGGGTTACAGGGGGGTTATAGGGGTTAAGGGGGGGATATGAGGGTGTTGGGGGCGGTATGGGGGTGTTGGGGGAGGCTATGGGGGTGTTAATGGGGTTATTTGGGATTCTGGACCCAGATAAAAAATAAAAAAATAAAAATATTTGCGGAGTGCCGACCGATCGCCGACCCGTAGGTGCCGACCAGTGGAACGCTCGGCTGGTCGGCCCCCGACCAATCCATGTGCGCCGACGGTCAGTGTGACTACTCTGCAAGGATATCTGTTCCTCGAAAGTTTCTACCATCTACTGTTTTTTTTTCTTTTTTTTTGCTTTTTTTTTTTTGGCCCCTCGTCAGACCGAGAGGCCGGCAAAATTGGCCTAGCCTGCTTAGTGTGTTCACCCCACTGTATTTTTCTCAAGTAAAAGGTGAAAGAATAGTCCGCCATCTGCGGTGCGCATGCAGCAACTATTACTATTTAGTTTTAGTATTTACTATTGAGTATGCAGGTTACTGGCGTTCAGTAAAAAGTTCATCTACAAACAGAAGAGGAGGAAATATTTTCAAAAAACTGTTTGGCAAAACATGATTGCAGCATACATAATGCTGCTGGGATGCTTACAAGTGCCTCCATCTTCAGCTTTTCTCGCTTGGGATGAAACAAATACGCATGAGCAACTTGATCAGCTCTCCCTACACGACCACGCAACTGGCACAACCAACATCACAAAACCAATTGGACAGCAAGACAATAAATAAGATAAACGGTGGCACTCATCAAATCGCCAACAATAGTAGCGCGCGCACACACACACACACACTGTTACATACTCCAATGAGTATGGGCAGAACCAAGGATCAACCAATGCTCGGATGAGCATATATGCAACGGAAGTCTGATGAACGGACTGACTCACATAGACTGACTCACATAGCATCACTCCACACACATACAATCGTGAGGTGGTGGGGTCTGAGCCATACATAGAAGATGCTCAGCCCCGTACACACATACACAGATGAATGGGGGAGGAGAGACGAAGAGGTGGGGGGAGGTAGACAGCACCGAAAGTCACCGAGATAGAATCTGATAGGTCACCGATATGGTAGTC